CCAACTCGCCGGCAATGGAGGACTCTCCTCCCGGCTCCCAGCGGCCGCTTCCCGCCCCCGTCCAGGGCGGTAGGGGTGGGGATGAGCCGAAGGGGGTCGTTGCACCCCCCGGGGGGGGTCTCATCTCTTCTGGCAAGTTCAGAAGACACTGTAACACGGATTAGGCGTCCCTTAAACGCCCCGTCTTCCTCCATCGCTTCCAACTCAGGAACCGAAGGAAAGAGTTTTAACTAGGGCGGGGGCGGCGGGGGCGAAGGGACCCCGCGAACCCGCTGCATGAGTCACGGATAGCGTTGCTACTACTGTATACCGCGCCGTGGAAGCCCCGCTTGGCACGAAAACAAATACAAGGGCAACCCCGCGTCTGCGCCCTCCATTTAACCCGCTCCTTGCCAGACCCGTGAATTCCCCACCCCACCGCTCCCCACACCACCGGCTACAGTCTCTTTGCTTCCTTGTGAAGACCCGGATAAGGATCGGAAGAGCTTGGGATCGGGAGCGGGCATTCCGCAGGAGGGGGCGGGCGGGGAGGGACGGCTTCCTGGGAAAAGGTGTGGGAGCGCCTGCCCGCCCGCCCGTGGGATTTCCGCCAGCTGTAGCTGCGGTGGGAAGGGTTTTGTTGGGGGCATTGTTCCTGGAGGCGTGCCTAGAAGAGTAACGATGACCCAGCCCTGTAACGAATAGAGTAGCGGGTCGGCTCGCCCCTCGCCACCTTTTTGGTGAGAGCGCGAGCCCTTTCTCCTCCCCCCCCCCTCAGATTGGGGGGAACGAAGCCATCCTAATACGTATCGCAGCCGAGGTGCGGGGCCGGAAGCCGCCAAGCCCCGCCTCTGAGGAGGGAGAGCCGGCTTGGTGTCCTCGGTGGGATTTGTGGGGCGGGGCTGGGAGGCAGGTGTGGGTCTCCCCCCTCCGCCCGCGGGGGAAGACCTGGCAGCGGCTTGCTGGGGGCGCTCCGGCAAGCTTTCGGAGGGGCTCCTGGCTTGGGCCTTGAAGGGGGCCGGTCCGGGCAAAGCTGGGCAGCCCTTCCTCAGGGGGGGCAGGGGGGGGGGACGCGGGGCCCCGAGAGCGTCTCCCCGCGGCCTTGGCTTTGCCAGGAGGGCTGCAGGGGCGACCCGTGATTTGCGACCCGTGCAGCTCAAGCCGGTGCGCCTCCTGGGAGGCTGGCCTGCGCTGCCTTCCGGGGCGGGTTGTCTCCCCAGGGAGGGAAGGGGCTGGAGCCGCTGCGAAGGAGGCCTTTCCTGGCCGCCGACGGCTGCACGCATCCTGCAGCTACTGAGGTGGGGTTCAGCCTTGCTGAGACTGATCCAAACAGCTCCTTCCAGGCTCTCCTACCACGCGCGGGGGAGGGAATTTGCCAAAGGAAGGAATGGAGATCGCCTGGGGTTTTCCCATTGGGGCTTTTGCCTAGTTTTCAGGCAGACTTTTGCGTTTGCTTTGCTTGCAGCCTCTGCCTGATGTATTGGTCAGAGCTGGTCTCTCCCAGGAGCCTAACCAGGGGAAGGAAAAATCCACACACACACCCCTTCACAGAGGTGCCTCTGCACTCTTTTCCTATAGCCAGAAATGAGGATGTGATTTATTCTTACAGTGGACCCTTGACTTACAGACGGCTTGACTTACAGACTTTTTGAGTTACAGACTTCTCTGGCCGCAAAATTTAGGTTTGACTTGCAGCCTGAGAATTGACTTACAGACCAGAAAAAAACCAAAATGGAACAAAAACGGCCTGTTACGGGATTAATCGGTTTTCAATGCACTGTAGGTCAGTGGAGACTTGACCTACAGACTTTTTGACTTGAACCGCCTTCCAGTACGGATTAAGTTCAAGTCAAGACCCCACTGTATTCTGAAACTGTTGTGTAAACAGATCATATGAAACAGGGGCTTTTCATATTATTTTGTCTCCAAAATGCCCTCTCCCAAATTTTCTCAGCCTCCCCCCCCCCCGAACTTCACATGCCTGCATCAGCCTGTTCCAGATGGTGGAGGGAGATGGAAGGCCTTGTGTGCATCCAGTGGTTCCCAGCCAAGACTGAAACTCTCCCAGTCTGAGAGTTTCAGTTGTGGACTGAAACTCTCAGAAGCCTTCAGAACTAGCTGTTCTGGCCAGGATTTCTGGGAGTTGTAGTCCAAGAACATCTGAGACACAACCACTGCACTCACACCATTTCTGCATATGGGTGAGTTTGCTGCAGTTCCCCTCTTATCTAAAAGGCAGTGAATAGCCAGACAGGCAACCTGATTTCTGTTCTCTCTCCTTTTCAGTATGTCTATGTCTTTCTGCCCAACTCATGGCAGGTGACAGATTGGGGGGAAGGGAATGGGCTTCCCTATTTACTGTTCTTATGATCCCCAGGTAGCCAAGCTACGTGGCCTGGAGATATTGGGAACTCCAGTGCATCCATCTGATGGGCTGATCTGGCTAAGGATTTAAAAGGGGGGAGGTAGGTGGAAGATAGATATATAAAACTTTAGTAAGGTCAAAAGACCAGCCTCCAATAAAATATCTAAAATATATAAATATACAGAAATTTACAAAAATATTGGGATCAAAAGCAAAGCAATAGTTAGTTCTGAGGCAAACACCAACAGTGTCAATACATCTCTTCTGAAGCAATGCCAAAATGTCTAGCAGCAGACTATGCTCTGACTACATAGGGTGGTGGTGGAATATTCTCCTGCTCCTCTGGTGGATTCTTGCTCTGAAGGGGGAAGGCTTGGTTAGGCTTTGTCCAGTACATCACCTAGCTCTCCCCAGGCACCGAAGTGAATTGGGGCTGCCTTTTGGCAAAGTCCCAGGGGAAAGAGGCAACACAACTGGCCACCTCTCTGGCAGCAAGTAACATGGGTGCTGATATAAAAGCTGCATGATGCCCGGTGCTGGTGTGGATTTAGGGCCTTCCCTGGGACCTGTGAGTTTCCTTGGTACTTGCTGTCAAGGTAGCTGTGGATTGGGGACCTTTGAGGAACTGGGTTTTCCATGTCCTCCAAACAGGCCCAACGTGGGTCCACCTCCCAAAGGTCCAGGGATGGACGTGTATGGGGCTTCTGGAGGCTTTCCACCCTGGCCTGTAGAATAGCATCCACGATGGGAGGCCCTCAGGTGGAGAATGGTAGGTAGTGGTCGGGGTGTCAGCAAGTGTGTCCTTTGTTTGCTTTTTCAGTGCAAGGTTCACGCCCCGGCAAGAATGTGCAGCTGACAGAAAATGAGATCAGAGGCCTGTGCTTGAAGTCGCGGGAAATCTTCCTGAGCCAGCCCATCTTGTTGGAGCTGGAAGCCCCGCTCAAGATTTGTGGTAAGTGGAGGCCATCCCACCCACCTCCTGCTCTTCTCCTAAGAGGCACAAGTGGTCCCTGAAGTCTGGTAGGAGGTTGGGAGAAGGGGACCTCTATCGGCTCCTCTCATTACTTCTCCACGTGGAAAGGAAAGAGGAATTTATTGTAATGGATTGACCTGCCCTCTTCTTCTTTCTTTTTTTTGTGCTCCCGCCCTGCAGGCGACATCCACGGGCAGTACTATGATCTGCTCCGACTCTTTGAATATGGGGGCTTCCCCCCAGAGAGCAACTACCTCTTCCTGGGTGACTATGTAGACCGGGGGAAGCAGTCGCTGGAGACGATCTGCCTCTTGCTGGCCTACAAGATTAAGTACCCTGAGAACTTCTTCTTGCTGCGTGGCAACCATGAATGCGCCAGCATCAACCGCATCTATGGCTTCTATGATGAATGTAAGTGCCTGGTGGCCAACACTTTGTGTGGCTTTAAAAGAGGATGGGATACGTGCATAGGCGGTGATGACACTTGGGTCCTGCCAGCATGCTCCCCATAGGCCCCTGGGTGGATAGAGAATAGGACTAGACAAGATCTTGGCAGAAACCGGTGTGTGGGGGGTGTCTTCTTGTATTAGAATTGCATGTGTGCAAGCACCACTGAAGGAATGAGGGACCTTCCACATGTTACAAACACAGGAAGATGTTTGCAACCCCAGGGGCCACCACCAAACTGTGCCATTCTTTGGGTGACGTATTTTGTCTCCCCACAGATCTTCAGCAGAAAGTGAGTTAGGAACCCCTTTCCCTGTTCAAGCAACCCTGCTTGGAAACGTGCTAGAACGGCACGGAAGGTGGATTTAAACATCCCTGTTCTTTAAGGGGAAGAGGGAGTGTGAAGGAAAGCCATTGCGGCAGGTCTGTTCTCCCAGGACAGTCTGACAGGGCCTCAGTTTTGCAATGGAATGCAGTGAGTGAGGATGACTCCCCTCCCCTTGATGGCCATAGGTGGGGTGGATGCAGGGGTACCCCTGTAGGTTGGCCTCTCCTGGCATAAGAGGGCATGACAGTCTTTGGTTCGAAAAGGGCTGTGCCTTCCTGCTTCTGTCCCCACTGACCAGCTAAGCTCCTTTATTCCCCTTCTCCTTCTGGTCCATCCCCATGCAAAATCACTGCTTAACCCATTGACCCACCACCACCACTTTTGCTCATCCTAACCTTCATTTTTGTAGGTAAAAGGCGCTATAACATCAAGCTGTGGAAGACCTTCACGGACTGCTTCAACTGTTTGCCTATTGCTGCCATAGTTGACGAGAAGATCTTTTGCTGCCATGGAGGTGGGCTTTTAAAAAAAAAAGCATGAGGCTTAGGGGGTTGGAGGCATGATGAAGCCAAAATGTAGCTCTTGGTGCTTGCCAGGGGTACGTAAAACACCACTGAAGAGACTGAACGGCTACAGAGGGGTTCCAGCAGTTGAGAAGCAAAGAAAGAACAAGCGCTGCAGGCAACGGTTACCGGCATATTCAGGAATTAGGGGCCTTACCTTGCCTTGAGTTGGCTGGGGAACTTTCTCTGGGGCAGAACAAAATGTGGAGAAAGCTACAGTGAAGGGGAAGAACACGTCCCCTTTTTCCTGAAGACTTGCTTTATTTGTTGCAGATGTTTAGTTCTGGGGAGGGAGGAATAGGTGAGTCCTCAGATGTCGTTGTCCTGCAGCTCCCACTAGTCCTGGCCAGCATAACCCAAGCAAAAAGGATATAAAACCATGTTCTAAAAAACAAAATTTAAGAAAGCTAAGCCCATGGTAAATAGTAAATAGGGTTACAGTCCAGCAGTATCCGGAGGGGGCCACACAATGAAAGCTTTTTCTAGGCCTTTTTGTTTTTGACGCCATAAGGAAGAGTGCCATCTTGGGGCATGTAAAGCAGGGTGGAAGAAGGAGAAGCACAGAGAGGTTGATCTCTTGCTTGCAGGTTTTAAAAAAAAATCCCAAAACTCCAACCAGAGATGGTGGGCTTTGGTAGCACCAGCAACCAGTGGCATGGCAGTGAAGCATACGCAGGTAGGAGCTGCCCACAGAAGTCCAGATGTACACCTGAGGTTCTGCAGAGAGAGTATTCTAATGCTTCTCTCTACAAACTAGCCAGCAGAAGTTACAGAAAGGATGAGTCAGTTAATTGGTCAGCATGGCTGAGAATTTTTCTTTCACTTCCTGTTTCTAAGAAATACCAAACTCTTATCATGTTAAGCCCCATTTTGCAGCTGCGGACCCCCAAAACTCCAAGATTTTCAATGTATTTTCGGTTCTGACAAGTCAGTATGCAGGGAAGTGCACCTTTTTAGTTGTTGCCAGTGAAAAACCATTGGTCTAGTACATACGTATCTTGCCTTCCCTCTGGTGAGTGCAAGGTAGCATTGTGTGGCCAGCAACCTTTGTGAGGTGGCCCAACTTCACCCAGTGGGTTTCATGGCTGAGTGGGAACTTGAAGGTAGATCTCTCAAAGCCCATTCCAGCAATGGGACTAATATCCCACACTGGTATGCGCGCCATCCAAATAGGCCAGAGTCCCAACAAGTAGGGCAAAGGGATCAAATTTTGCAAGGCAAATCCCTTGGAATTCCTGGGAAATTCAGTGCATGGCAGCAGAGGAGTGCGCTGCTTAAAGAAAAAGTGGGTGCAATGATTAGAGTGGGGGCTCAACTCCCCTTCTGCTCTTTCACAGTCTTGACAGCATCCATCCTCTCTTCTAGGACTCTCTCCTGACCTCCAGTCCATGGAACAGATCAGGAGGATCATGAGACCCACAGATGTCCCTGACCAGGGCCTGCTTTGTGACCTACTCTGGTCTGACCCGGACAAAGACGTGCAGGGTTGGGGCGAGAATGACCGTGGGGTCTCCTTCACGTTTGGCTCAGAGGTTGTCGCCAAATTCCTCCACAAACACGATCTGGACTTGATCTGCCGAGCACATCAGGTTGGGGCTCTGGAAGTTGGCCTAGAAGTGGAGGGGGAGGGTGCCTGTCTGCAGCTGGGCTGGGAGTGAGGACCGGAGCGGAAGAGGTGGAAAGCCTGGGGGTAGAGGTACCTTTGCTTAGGGTTTTCAACAAGGATGTTCTTCCTGCAGGAGTTTGCACTGGATGACCCTTGGAAGCCTTTCTAACTTCTGGGATTAAAGGTCCATTTCTCCAGTGGTTAAAAGCTGAGACTAGTGGTGGTTGCAAGTGGGGAAGTAGAGGGGCTGAACAGAGGTGGGGTATAAGGAGAAACAAGGGTTGGGAAGATGTGTAACTACTTTTCTCGTTGATCCCTTGTCCCTCTCCCCCGTTAATAGGTGGTAGAAGATGGATATGAATTTTTTGCCAAGCGGCAGCTGGTGACACTCTTTTCGGCTCCAAACTACTGTGGCGAATTTGATAACGCAGGCGCAATGATGAGTGTGGATGAGACCCTCATGTGCTCTTTCCAGGTAAAGACCTTTTTGCAGCTCTTCCCCCATCTTCATTTTTGGTATTATAGGCATCACAACTGGGGTGGAAGGCGGCAGAGCAGAGTTAAAGGTTTGGAAATCTGTTGTTTTCTTTTTTTTTTTTTACTAAAACCTTGAGATCTTAGGGCAAAAAAAATGTACATGTAGAATTAAAGAATTTGGAGCCCAGGTGTTTGTGTGGGAGGCTCAGAAGTGAGCCATGCTCACAGTCCTTCCACCCAAAACCTGATTTCTGGATGCCCTTAGCTTTCAACAGTTCCAAAGCATCATGTGAATCTTTTTGTTTTTGCTACTTTTGAATAGTTAAAAGTCAGACAGCCCTTCCAGTTTGCTGTACCTCATTTGTACCTACATTTTGCAAGCAAAAAGGAGAGAAACCTTTGAAGAGAAAAAGAAAAAATTGTGAGGGATCTCAGGAATCCAGTATTGTGTGATAAATGTCAAAGCAAACATGTGAGATCGCTGAAGATGAGCAATCCCTCTGTATAAATGTCTTTAAAAATTAGTCATCTCTCAAAATGATTTATGCAGAATCCAGGCAACTGCTATTATATGTAGAGTGTGTTCTTGTACAAGGTGAACTGAGATAACTACGTAGTCAGGCTTGTCCTACAGTTTCTGCTTTTTTGCATCAGTATATTACTAATGCATACTACAGTAAAGATATAGGAACATTAACAAAGTGTCTGTGGAGTTTGATGTTTTTGTGTTAGAATTTTTTTGTTGTGTTGGCTTTCAAGTAATTTTTACTCCTTTTGAACTTCAAGCAGCAGGAAAGTTAGAGCCAGAAACCACAGAGCTTTAGAATTTGGGATTTTCTCAAACGTTTGGGTTTTCCTGAGTTCTTCATCGGGCTGGATGCTGAGCAAAAGTGAACAAAGAAAGAGAGAGAGAAAAAAGACTCAGTGCCTTAGAATGGAGCTAGAACTCTTTAATTTTTCAGGAGACCTTACAGCATAGTAAAGTGGTCATTACATGGGGGAAAGTCCCCATCCTATTATGTGCCCTTGAAGGAAGGGCTTCAGTGAAATACATTGATCCTTGTGATTTTAAATCTTTTGAGGATTTCCTTAATAAATAAAAATCTAAGTATGGAAGGAGGGATGTAAGGAGCCCATTCAGGGCCACCCATGTTGATTGGGGAAGGTCTGAAGTGAAAATAGTCAGAGGCTATTAGTGTACTTGAAGCAGCTGAGAACCCTGCATGGTTAGGATTCATAATCATCTAGAGCAGGGATCTCCAAACTTTTCAGAGTGAGGGCCACAGCATATATTTCAAATTTTCGAGGGCCGAACGCACTTCTGCCCACCCGCCAGGCCGGATGTGGCCTGCAGGCCATACTTTGGTGACCTCGATCTGGAGCTCTGACCATGCTTAGTTGAACATAGTTACAGGATTATCTGTTCCCATAAAACAGAGTTCAACAACCCCCGGTCTGTGGCCCGCTGCTGGTCCCGGCCTGAGTCCGACCGGGCTGCGAAGACAGACCTCCCACCTCACCCCTGCCCTCACTCACCCCTGCAAAGGCTGTTTGCGGCTGCATGCGCACTTGTGCACATGTGCAAGTGATGGCGCTTGTGCGGGTGGGTGCACTCATGTGCATGTGCAAACAGCGGTGCTGCCGTCCGTGCTTGCACATGAGCGTGCGCCCGCCCGCACAAGCGCTGCTGTTCGTGCATGCGCACAAGCACAGGGGATGCCCTGCCTTCCCCAGCCAGTCTGTGGACTGAAAAAGGTTTGGGACCGCTGCCATAAAGGACTAATGTATTTATATTTTCCAGATTTTGTATTGAGAGGCCATGTTTCTATTCTTTTTTTTTATTTTAAAGTACTGTTTTGTGGGGTTGCCCATGTTTTTCTGGTCCCTTTATTTATGGATCTCTTTCCCTTGGTATATTGAGCAACATGTATATCTTTGTTTTCCTCTGTTGTTGATGTTTCTGTATTCCTCCATTTCAGCATATGAGGAAATTTCCAAATGAAGCACCCCCAAACCTTTAGCTTAAATCAAAACCTTATGTTTTGTCTCCCTCCATAAGGAAATTCAGAGCACAAATGACCCTAACACCACCACTGAAAATATTAGTAATGAATATTTCCTTTCAAGTCAATTCTGACTTAGAGTGACCCTTTCCAGGTTTCTCTAGGTAAAAAGTATTCAGAAGCGGCTTCCCATGCCCCTCTTTTGGGGCTGTTCTGGCACCGTGAAGCTTGTGCAAGGCTACACAGGGTGGCTTTTCTCCCAGGAGGTGCAATAGGGAACTAAATTGACACGTGATGCCAAACTCACTCAGCTATCCCAGCCAGCATTAAAAATATTGGCATGTTTATATTCTCTTCTAGTTGCTTAACTTCCACCAGTAATGCAGGCTATAACATAATCCCAGTAACCACTTCACTTCTTATGTAACACTTAACTAATAGCTTCAAAAACCTATAATAAAACACTGGCTTTGATAAATGCTAGCATCTACAAATAGCAGATTTAGTCTTTAGTTAGTTACATAGTTTTTACTCCTACAATGCACATTTTCCTTGTTGAATGGAAGGAAGTTTTGTATCTAATAGGCTTTGCTATGTTATGTGCCTTTGATTCAGAACCAATTTACAGGAAATCTTAACAGCTCTTTCAAGGTAAGTGAGATATTTAAGGAGTGGTCTTTCCAGTTTCGACTCCCCCAGTGAGTTTCCATGGCTCAGCGAGGATTTGAATCCAGACATCCCTGGTTCTAGTCTCTTCATCTGTCCACTAGTCCACACTATTCCAGTAGGCTTAGTTCTAGTTTTTTTGTTTCTAGGAAAGGGTTGTATCAGTGTGTCAATGCTTTGAGTGAAGAGAGAAGAGTGGATCATGCAGTTTGAATTTTACTTTTTTTGGGGGGTATAGCTTCAAACTGACTTATTTTCATTAAACAGCAGATGGGTCTCATTTTCAGGAATGTGGAAAACTGGAGTTGGTCTCCATTCAGATAACTTAATAGAGGTTCCTAAATTAAAATTGTGACTAATTTTCCCTGGAAGACAAACAAAATTCAAAATGATCTTGATAGGCTGGAGCGCTGGGCTGAAAGCAACAGAATGAAATTCAACAGGGATAAATGCAGAGTACTGCACCTTGGAAAAAGAAACCAAACACAGTTGCAAGATGGGGGAATACCTGGCTCAGCAATACTACAAGTGAGAGAAGGATCTTGGAGTTGTTGTAGATCATAAGCCAACAATGTGATGTGGCTACCAAAAAAAAAAAAAAAAAAAGGCAAATGCGATTTTAGGCATTAACAGAAGTATCTTTTTTCAAATCCTGTGTGGTGCTGGTTTCCTTATATTCAGCACTTGAGCAATACTACAAGTGAGAGGATCTTGGAGGTGTTGTAGATCATAAGCTTGTTGTAGATCGTGAGCCAACAATGTGATATGGCTACAAAAAAGAAAAAAAAGGCATACCTGCGATTTTAGGCATTAACAGAAGTATCCTTTTTCAAATCCTGCGTGGTGCTGGTTTCCTTATATTCAGCACTGGTTAGGCCTCACCTTGAATATTATGTCCAGTTCTGGACACCACACTTCAAGAAGGATGCTGACAAATTGGAACAAGTTCAGAGGAGGGTGAAAAGGATGATCAGGTGGCTGGAAACCAAGCCCTGTGAGGAAAGACTTGGGCACGTTGGAGACATTCAAGAAAAACTTAAGACAACCTGCCAGATATCCTTTGATTTGTATTCCTGCAGGGGGTTGGACCTAATGGCATTATAGGCCCCTTACAACTTCACTATGATGTGATTCTAATGAGTTTTTATCTCTAAATACGTTTTCTTCATCTTAGAAAAGGGTTCCAAATTGGTGTAGTTTTGGTGAGGGGAGAATATTTCCCAACCATGCTTATGTTTTTTGAAACAAAATAAACAGATGGCTGTCCTCAAGGATCTTGCAACGTTGGATAGTGAGGGAGGACAAGGGTTGAATATAAGCAAGTGAGATTTTAAGTACTTACACTTGGTTATAGCTGAGAATGAAGCTGAAAGCATTAAGCAAAAGGGGCAAAGTTTAATGGTGGAATGGAGTTGCATTTTTCCAATAGGATTCTATTTTTGAGTTGGCGAAAACTTGACAAATTGGTTGGCTTCTGTACTTGTTACTTTGTATGTTTTGTTAAATCAAAATTGCTTCGATGGGATTATTTACCCCCTCCCTAGGGGTGAGGTCCAGCAGAGTTACACAATCCCTGCGTCAGCATCTCATATCCCCTTTTGTCTTTTCTCCTTCCAATCTCTCAATCTACAGATCTTGAAACCAGCTGACAAGAACAAGGGTAAATATGGCCAGTTCAGTGGCCTGAACCCAGGCGGGCGCCCGGTCACGCCTCCACGCAACTCGGCCAAAGCCAAGAAGTAACTGGCCATACCTACCTGCCTGCCTGCCTGCCCGCCCCCAAGCTCTAAGTGTGGGGCCCAGGCTGTCATGTGTAGCGGTTACACTGTACAGCGGCTGCCTACCTCCCCAGGGCCTGGCCATGTAATTTTTTTTAAATGTCTGAATAAGAATTCAATACCAAAAATTCTGCTCCCCTAAGAAAAGGGGATGTCTTTATTTTTGGGGGTATTTTTGATTGAACTTTTTGCCAACTTTGTCCCGATGAGTGCTCCCCCCTCCCCCATGGGGGGTACTGCATCTTTTTGAATAAACATGTAAGATTCTTAAGCATCTGGTCCTGTTTTATTGCTTTCGGAAAATACTGATGTGTCATGCAGAAGTCCCATTTCTCTCTCTCTCTCTGTCTCTCTCTCCCCCCCCCCCCCACTTTAACAAAGGGAACATTTCCCTTTTCTCTCCAAGATCTGGCTCATGACAGAACATTTGAGGATGTCATTCTCCCCTGTCTCTCCTATGGGATGCATGAATGTGCTGATTTGTGGAAGTGTGTTAGTGAAGGGGTGAAATGTCCTTGGGAACAAGAGTCTGTGCGCAGTGAGAAAAGATGCCTTCATGGAGATGGACCACATTGCCCTTATTTTTATGCCAAAACAACAGATCTCTCTCGCCCTAGCTTGTTTCAATACCATTGTTGTCTTAATTTATTTCCACTTAGCATTTCTGTACTTCCAGATTGTAAACTGAACAGTGCAAGCAACTGCTACTAAATTAGATAGTAAAAGTCAAGGGTAACCTCTCCTCCTAGAGGCATCACATCCCAGAAGTTTGATAGGACTACCATGAGCTGCAGTAGAGACCTATTTAGAAAGAGGGAGGGTGGTCACAGGTTCCCTACTCCTTTTCTGTAAGGTATTGCTTCTGTAGCTGGCTTCCTCAGACCAGTTCCCCCCCCCCCAGATATGCACTGTATACATCACTTCACAGTGAGGTTATTCCAGTGCATCTGGGGTAAAAGCTACCATTCTGTCTTAGCACGTGGTCCTCCAAGCAGGGTTACCTAACAAAATCCCCCATGTTATAAGCTATTTAAAGGATTGCTTGGCCCTGCCTGCCTGATGTGAATCGCTCTGTTGTTGCTTGCTTAAGCTCTAGGTAAATCCCAAGGCACGGCACAGCAGTGCCTGCTAATGCCATTTGCAGGAATTAGCTTCAGTACTGAGTCAAGGCAATCACACAGAGCTAAGACAAAGAGAGAGGTGGGGACACTGGGAGCTGGGTGCACATGGAGGAGGACAGCATTTCCAATACTTGGGACAGGGTTGATGGGCACTGTAATCCAGCACTGTTGGAAAGTGCAGGACAAAACTAAGTTCCTAAAAGTAAACAAAGATACATATTTTATCCACAGATGATTATAGCCCTGATGGGTTTGGGCAACCAATAGCATTTTAAGGTACAGGGGTGATGCTGTTAAATCAGGCTGCAGACCTTTTTGGCCCTCTCCAGGTCAAGATTTCCTGCAACACTTGATTGTATGACTTGGTTTGGTTTCCAGAGACTTGTGCAAGAAGGCATTTGGTACTTTCATGCCCAAGCAGTTCCCTGCTGTGCCATCTGCACCCGAGCTGGCCTCTCAGTCAGTGGGAGGAGCAGAGGCTCTCAGCTGACTTTACAGAGGCCGGAACATCTCTGTGCTGTGGCCTCCATCCTTCCTGGCAGCCTACGTTAAGTGTGCAAACGGCACTTTCTCCTCTAACTGGAGGTCACAGGAATTTGTCCTGGAAGTTTTGGACTGTGGCTCTCACATTAATTAACCCTGCTCCCTTGGACTTCTGGGAGTTGGCAGTCCAGCAGATTCTAGGCGTGGAGTTCCCTTGTCCCTCCTTCAAACTGGGTACCTTCCTTTTTGACTCCTACCTGCACCAGGGCATCTGGCTTCTACCCATCTATCCTGTAGGCAGATACACCTGGAAGAGGAGCAGAAGCATTTGTTCTAAAGTGACAGCACAGCTCAAAAAGTGCTTTTCTTACTTTTTTTTGTGGGAGTGCTTATGTTGAGTACTTGGCTACCTCCCACAGTACTGCCAAAGCGTTACTTGGTAATGCAGCTCTAATAGTAACCTAGCTGACAGCTTCTGTTCCAGCTCCCAAGTAATTTTTAACAAATGATAGGTTCAACAGTAATGTCGGCTAAATGCAAGAAGAAGAGGAAAATCTGCCCCAGAAGATGCAATTTAAAGGCTTAAAGGTTCATCCGTATCACAGCTACAGTTCACATTATAGCCAAAACAGCTAGAAGCGTATCTATTACACAATGAATGTTATTGTAAACTCAGAGCAAGCCATTTCCACACAGATTTATTCCTCTTTTCAAAGATATGTGAAATGCCTTGTGGAAAAATGGAGAGAAAGTGTGTTTGTATGGATATATGCACGTATGTACTGTGTCCCTGTGATTTAAGTTCAGAAGGTATGTGTGTGTGTGTGTGTGTGAGAGAGAGAGAGAGAGAGATCATTTAATTTTAAAAACTCTGTAAGAAGAGGTTGCTGGTTTAAGTGATTGGGGAACAAGAAGAAAATTAGCTGGTGGGAGTAAGATGAGTCTCCTAACCCGCCAAAAGGAAACTTGGCTTGAAATGTCTTTCCTTGCAAGCTGTAGGAGTTGAGGGGGGCTGGTGTGTGCTGGTAGTTGATAGAAGGTCTCTCATGATTCTCCTTCACTGTCCTCTGCCAGCACCTCTTGGCTCGAAGATGACTGGACTGCAGACTGTGACTGGCTTAGGACTGATCCGAAGAACAAAGACCGAAACTGAAGGACAAAAAAGGAAAAAGAGACTGACTAGGCTCAAACAAGGAATAGCAACATAAGTTCCCACAGAAATGCTTGAAAAGAGGCATATGGTACAGTCAGGGTTTGAATGTTTGCAAGGGACATGGAGACTAGCCAGTCACTCCAAGCCTCACACCATCTCCCAAATGTAGTTTCTACCACACCCTTTCAATGTCTGAAAGCCCAGATTTTGCAATAGTAAGATTAATGAAGCCTGACTACAGCTTTTGGAATAACAGGATGCAATCAGCGGCTCTGCTCCAGCTATATTTGTCATGACTTAAGGTGCAGTGAAACTAACAAGCTAGCGGAAAGTGGCTGAGGTCCTGTCCCTTCCCATGGACAGCTTTTGGAATAACAGGATGCAATCAGTGGCTCTGCTGCAGCTATATTTGTCATGACAAGGTGCAGTGAAGCTAACAAGCTAGCGGAAAGTGACTGAGGTCCTGTCCCTTCCCATAAAAATCAACTTTGAATTGGATCAGAGTAACTAAGGAAACTGCATGTTACAGTACTAGCTGGAACACATTAAAAATGTTCTATGCACCGTCTAGCTGATGGACAGACATATTACTCTCATTGCAAAAGCATGCTGTGCCAATCCCACCTTCTTGCACTGAAGTGAGTGGCCATGTTTGCTTTTTAGAGTACAGGAGCAGAATTTAACATGCACCACTAGATCAGTAAAATGGTCAAGAGAGTCATAAGTCTACAGTGCCTTATGCTCCCAACCAGAGCTTGGGGGAATAAATGAATGAATGAGATAATGATGATGATTCCTCAATTTTTGGAGGGAGTCCAAGTTTTGCATTTAAGTTGTTCCCGTAGCTTTGCAGCAACCTGTCCTTGTTCCTCAACAGGGTCTGCTGAGCCCTGTAGTCCATTTGTCACCAGATGCCCAGAGGCTACAGCACCTGACACAGTCGTATGGGTTTCTGTTTATTTCCTCTCCTCATAGTTGATGGTTGCTGGACACAGTTGGTCTGGCTTCTCAGCTGAGACCTGTGGGGCCTGGGAGAACCTTCAGGCAGCAACACTACCACCAGCATAGCTCTCAACCTCACTGAAGCACACAAGCCCCTCTGCCATAACGAGATCTGGTCATTACACAAAAATACTAACTTGGCAGCCTAAAAAAACCCATGGGAACATCAGGTACAGGTGTCAGAAAATAAGGAAGTTAAAATCGTGTGGGATTTTCAGATCCAAACACACCAGACATAGTAGGAACAGAATGAAGAAATATCTGGATCATTGGCATTGCAATTCCAAGGGATGCCAGAGTGGAAGATAAACAATTCGAAAAACTAACGAAGTACAGAGACCTGGCAATTGAAACATCTCGCCTCTGGAAGAAACACACCAGTGGTCCCCGTAGTCATTGGGGCTTTGGGAACAATATCAAGAAATTTCACACAGTCCTATAAGCAGTTGCAGATCACAGAAATCACACCATCAGAGCTACAAAAATGGCAGTATTAGGAACAGCATACATACTGTACTGATATTTAACAGCTACTTTGGTTTTTGGTTAAAATTTGTATCTGTTATATAATACCAGTCAATGTTTTTATAATTTTGATAGACTCTGCCTGGTATTTTTGAATAACAACAATAACAACAACAAATTGGCCAGTCTGACTGAGGAATTTTTATAAGTACAGCGGGGCCTTTCAGTACCTACCCGTTTTTGTGGTGGGGTGCCCGGGATGCTTCCCTCGTGATCACTGTCTGACTCCTGTGCACCAGAACTGGTGAGCTTCAGAGGGAAGGTGGGGCTGGGAGACAAACCTGCCCCTTCCATGCCACCGCATGTGGTTTCCATGGCTATCATATAGTCATCAATGTCGTCAGTGGTGAAGTCATGGGCAGGGGCCAGGGGCTTTGGTGTGCTGGCAGGAGAGAAGTGGGAACAGGACTGTTAGGAAGCCCCAAGCTCTATCTCCCTGGAGAAGGCATCCAATTAACCACAGGAAAGGTTTCCCTTGGCAGGATGTATGATGAATTCAGCAAGTCATGATCTCAAACATAAGACATTTGATATTCCCCCTCCCCCCCCCATACACATCATTAAAGTTAAAAAGGAGATAATTACAGCAGAAAGTGCTTTATATAAGCTGGAGACACTGAACTATTCCAAGAGTAACCAAGGCAACCAAATAAACGTGCTTCAAATGGCAGCTAACCAAAGGACTAGGGTGTGACAGAGATCTACTCAGCAGCCACCACTAACAAAAATCTTATACATGACATTGACCGCCCAAAGTTAACCTGCTGTTGAACGAAGGTGGCGCTCCCATTTAATGCCCCTGTCATTTGCCATCTTTCCCTCCATCCTGCCTGTGTGTGAAGCAAAAGGGCCTTGCTTACCAGCTGGTCACCTGCGAACTGGGGCTCTCTGGCTCGACCAGCGTGGCTAGAACAAGGTGTACTGTGAGCACAGGATCCTCCATAGTGAAGATAGCTGGCCTGCAAGGAGAAACATGGAGTGGGGAGAAGTTTCCAATGACAAGCATTTGGGCTTGAAATGGATGCAAGAATGAGGCAGAGGCATCTCTAGCAAAGCTAACTGAAGTGCTCACTTTTGCGGTACGGAAAAGCCAGCCACTGGCTATTGAAAATAAAGTATAGTATAGAAAACAAAGGATGTTTGCTCTTAAGAACCTTAGAGCAGTAGCAGTGCTACTGCTTAGCCCACCAGCAGGGCATGAGGGCAACAGTATCCTCTTGTGCCTCCCAACAATGAATGCACAGTGGCACAGTGACTCTGAATATGGAGCCCCCCTGGAAATTCTCATCCAGAACTTCCTCCCTGAACGCTTACCTGCCAGGAATGTCAAAATAGATATTAAGGGGAAGATTTGAAGACTCGGCAAAACTCAAAAGACCCTGAGAAAGCAAAAGAGAAATGACATATGTCAGAAAGAGTGAAGACATATGAAGACCACTGGTACCTCTAAGCCCTGTACTGTCCATGACTTCATGTAGGATTCTTTTCCATCTCTGTCTGGAGAGCCCCAATGTTCGCTGGTGGTCTCTCATTCAAGTACTGACCACACCTGACCCAGCTTAGCTTCTGAAATCAGACAAGAGGGCGTGTCTTTCAGGATACTGTGATGGCAGCCATCTCTTCTGCAGCCAGGAAGTGGGAAGTGCACTCACTCTGAACTCCTTGAGGCAGAAGGTGATTTGGGTCTCTTGCTTGATGTGAAAGGCCTGGAATTCTTCCTCACTCAAACACAGCTCTGTCACCATCGTCCGACTCAGTTCTGAGGCAGAGACAACAGTCAGAACAGCCTGGCCTTCCAGTTTCCCCCGCCTCCATGTTATACTCTTTCCTGCAACACAGCTCATTAAAAAGTGAAGCAATAAGGATATGACAATCTGTGTTCTGTTAAAGAAACCACTACGCCAGAGACTCAGCAGCCATTAACACTGGCTAAGGAAATCTCAGCTACGTTAAGAGGCTGTGAGGACAAGCGGCAAGCCGAGTCATGGAGGCCGGCTCACCTGTCTCTTCTTCCAGGTAACTGCGGAGGCTCACTTTCCCTGCAGGGCTGGCACTCAGGATGACCTCCGCCAGTGTCAGTGGGAAATGCACTACAGCGTCTGCCAAGAGTCTGATTTGGATGAAAGGAAAAAAAGGGTGAACAGAGAGGCAGATTTCATAGTTGCATTCCCCAGCTTCTCCCCAACCCTCTGTACTTTCTGTTTATGAGTATTGCCCTTATTTAAACTATTAAAGAAACAGCCAACACAAGGCTACACATCCATGCCCCTGTCCAAATGGCCTCTACCAGTCTTATACATACACATTGATGGTTTAGTGCTAAACCAGTAATTGAGGGAAACATCTCCTAGGCAAGAAAAGACACATCTTTTCTGAGAACATTCTTTTCCTCTAGATCTATACCTGTGAATTATGTCATGTTGGTTGCACTGTAGCCTTGCCTACCATGTGGATAAGCAAGTGAAGTTAAGGTCCATATAGAAATGCTTGGCTCTGTCTATCTATCTTTAACTATCAAAACTGCCAGCCAGCCCAGCTCTCTCTCTCTGCTGGCCATGCAGTCTCACCCAACTACATCTTAGCCCCACCTGGGAGAGGCACGCAGAGTATGAGCACATTGTGCTGTGTCAAAGTCAGCCTGTAGAGATTCACACTCCTGGAAGGACAAGTCATGGGTCTTGACAACACCTGCACAGAAAGAGACAGATGGACGTAGTGGGAGATGGATCTTACAGCAATCTCCTATGATGGAAGAATCTGAACTACACTAAGTATGGAGCAAGATGGACAAAGTACAGACTGTCCATCACACCTGGCCCCCAGGGGACCAAATGTAGTCTCCAGATTCCTGTCCCCTCCACAATTCTTTGTACACAAACACACACACATTTTTAACAATAAGAAGTCACCTTTTGCCTTCTAGAGATGAAGAGCACTTTTGCTTCCTTTTGAGCAACACTGGCACCCCTACCCTCTCATGTTTTTAAATATATATACGGTATATCAGTGACTAGAGAGTAGAAGGGGGCTTCTTCAATTTAAAATAATGTAAAGATTTTTTTTAAAAAAATATGTGTTGGGGTGCATTAGAGTGGGTACAGCCCTCCAAGGTCTAGGAATGGCTATTTGTGGCTCCCCAACATTCTCTAGAATTTGCCCACACTTCCTATATGCACCAAAGCCGTACCTAAAGACGTAAGAACTGAGGAGGAAGAAAGACAGCTGTACTTTTCCTCTACCAGGGCCTGAACTTGTGGGTGGGTAGGAGACATGAAGGAATTAAAATCTGTCTGAATCACCTTTTCTTCTAAAAAGAGCTCTGTTTAAATATCATTTTGTTACAGCAAGTTCAATCTGCTTGATAAACTTGGAGTTAAAATTCAAACCTAGTAACATTACTGTGCAGAGCCTGAAAAAGTTACTTTTGGAACAACAGAGCTCTCAGCAGTCACCAAGCAAGCGTGATTGCCGTACTTTCTCAACTATAGGGCCCCGTGACAACATGTGCAACAAGGTGGGCAGTTTCACCATCTCCGGCTTTTACAGAAAATAGCCCCTGCTAGTTCCCCCTCCCCCGTCTTCAAAGGCCAAGTTGGATCACAATCTCCAATTAAACGTCTTGGCAAGCCCCACTCCAACAGTGGCTATCAGCTCTGTGTAGCCCTTTACCTCTCAACGCAGGGATGGGGAACCTTTGGCCCGCCTGATATTTTTGCATTCAACTCCCGTAACTCCTGGACTATTAGGCTGACGGGCTATGCAGGTGAAAAGAACTGCCAGGCCACAAGTTCCCCACTTCTGTTTCAGAGGGTGGTGAGGCAAAGGGCATGATGGACTCCTACAGCTGAGCTTCACTGGATTCCTCCTTTCTTGCCTGGACTCTTTTACTCCAGATTCATTGGGAAACTCCCATGGGCTCCAGATTCCTCCTTTCTTGCCTGGACTCTTTTATTCCAGATGCATTAGGAAACTCCCTGTTGTAACCCAATCGCTGCTCATTCAGGATTCCTCCGCTGATAAGTCTTCCATCCAGATTTCTACAGCACCAACATCCAGCTACATTTTGGATGCATGCACACACCACTGGTCTTACACTTTATCCACTTTTCACATCCAGGCAGGATTCCACCCGGTCTCCCAGCACTCACCATACTTGCAGTGCAGCTGCACACGAAAGCGGCTAGCACGGGCATTCAGTGAGATCAGACATTTCTCCACCGTCTTCTCCAGGGAGGGAAGTGAACGGAAGACAGATAGAAAAGACTGGAGGGCAGGAGGAAACGGAGAAGTTATGTGCCTGTGGCTGCTTCCTATCAAACAGGACCCCTCATGAAAGTCAGTGAGTACTGGTTATAGAGTGACAAACTAATTATTTATTCATTATATTTATAACCTGCTTTCTTTCCAGCCAGCTCAAGACGGCATATATACTTTATCTTCACAACAGTGCTGCGAAGTAGGCCAGGCTCAAGTAAAGGCCAGACCCAAGCTCTTCTGTTGAGTTTCATGCTCAGTGTAAACCTGGATCAGACTTGGAAAAATAAGTCCCTGTCCATTATTCTAACCACAGCACAATGCTGGTGTTTTAGGGATGGGGAGATCCAGCTTCACATCCCTATATTGCCATGAAACTCTGTGGGTTTCTTTCGGATTCACTGATATTTTTCAGACTAGAGAGAGGACAACCTCTAGAACTCTTGGGTTCTTTAGAGGAAATAAATGAAATGCAGACTATAAATACAGGTAAATAAAATGCAACCCTGTGGTGGCTAGTTCTCACTCTCATCTCAGAGGACTGAGCTGGGGCACCCTTACTCTTGCAGAGTAACTTCCAGGCAGAGTTAAGGCAATTCAGTTTGGAATGTCTCAACAACTAAATTTATTTGAATAATGATGGGGGCATGAATCAGTTTTCAAGGTGAGCTATAACAGACCGGAAAACATGCTTGCTTCTTTAATCTTTGGAAAGTATTTGGCACCAACAGGGGGTGCACAGATTGTGAAAAACCACAGTGGATTACCAAGCCACAAGCAATTCCTAAAAGTGATCTCGGGGAAAAAGGCCACCCACCCTCCAACTCCATAACAAAAAGAACCTTGCTGGATCGCATCAATTATTTCCCTGATGCAGGATTCTGATTCTACTAGAAGTAACCCTGGTGCCACTGAGATGCTCATAAGCTAGATGTGGAGGCGATGGCTTGCCCCCAGATTTGTCTCTAGCATTTGCTCCTCCAAGGCATGGCTTCTTCTGTACATGGAAATTTGTTTACTTGCTACAGTGAATAGCTTATCAGCACATCAGAGCTCGGAAAAGTGTGGGATTCTTGGAGCTACGGTCCAAACCAGTAATATGTCCAGCTCTGCAAAACATTTGTCCTCCATTATTACATCAGAAACGGAGTTAGGGGGACATCAGTCGATCACAGCAAAATGTGCGGCAGTTTGTTAAATGGCATCCACAGTACAACGCACTTGCCATGGAAGAAAGCATATGGTTGCGTACTGCAAAGCTTGGTGGGTATCTGCTGGTCTCTGTGAATAATAGGGGAGATAGTCAAGCTGTGGCTAGATTGCAGGTGGGATGTTCACATGAGCAAGTGCTCCCCCACACTTAAAAAAAAAGGCCAGGGGAATGGTTAGGCTAGCCTCCTCTGGGACATGCTGGTTTTCCATAGGTATCATTTGTCTCCCTAAGTGGGGGGGGGGAAAGGTGTTCAGACATGCTACTTGTGCTACCACCTGCATTCTCAAGTGGTGCATATATACAGTTTGTTCTCTAGACCAGTAATGGGATACGAAGGAAAGCACAAGGACTAGGATGGCTGAGATTCGTCCTCTGTCCATGGGCACCTCACCTTCATGTGCACTTTGCACCTGAAAGCACCCACATCTGGGTTGGATCCAGATTCTCCTGGCTGGTACTGCTGGAAGAAGAGCGGGGCGAACAGGAAGCAGGCATAAGCTGAGTGCGATGGATTTATTGCCCGCAAGGACAGCTGGAAAAATGAGAACAAACAGGGTCACTAAGTCCATCACTATGGCAGAGCAAAAGGCACATTTCACAACTTCTTCTCAGCCCTAACACTTGGATCTAAGGGAGGAATGCCTTCAGATGCTGTGTAGTATGCATAGACTATGGGGTCAGGCTCCTCCCCACACCACTCCGGGGTATCTGCCCAGTCTTCATCCTCCTCCTTGTTGACTGCCCCAATTATTCCTGGGTCTCCCTTTCTTTTTTCTCCTGACAGAAGATTTCCTTGGTGGGCCTTTGCCTGCCTTCCTCATTTCCCCACCCTTTTGGCATCCCTTGTCTCTTGGCACCTGAAGAGAGTTTACCCCAGAGTAATATCCAGTAATCCACCCCATACTTGCCTGGTATTCTTGGCAAGGACCCATGGAGGGCCAATTGGATATGAAGGTAGACCTTTCCCGTGTGCCCAAACTCCCCCACTCACAGGTGCACACCCAGGTCACAAACAGTATCTCCTTAGTGGCTACAAAGGAGCAACAGGATTCTGATCTATGTGTTGTTGTTGGCAGGAAGTCGGTATATTAATCACACTGTGTGACACTCCCTTCCCATTCACAAACCACATTCCTCTTTTCAATGCTCTCCCCACATTGTTAAGCCTCTTGCCTTACCCCTTCTTGTAGTGGCTCAATATAGATTTCATCTCCAATGCGGGAGAGTGAGTGTACCGCTTTTCCCAGGACTGCAGGAGAGGCAAGAAGAAAATTATGGTGGAACGAATAAATTGAAGGATCTTGCAGTGTCAAGTGTGCTGTATGTATATCACCACATGTTTCCTCTTTTATTAAACCACTATCTGGGTTTATTGTTTACCCACTAATGAAGTTTATGCCCACCCGGGACACAGAATTCTTTTCATTTCACTCTCCAATACAGACCATCACATTCTACTTGCCAGTCTCCCAAACCCAACCACTCACTTATTCCTGTCTTGCCAGGAAATTCATTTTACTGACAAGGATGAGGAATCTCTTCTTCTATTGAGGAATACATTCCCTTAACAGGGGGAATCTGTCAGGGGTCACATGCCAGCAGTATATAGGGTTGGAACAAAAAGTAAAGAGAACCACCTTTTCTAGAATGTCATGTGTGTACGCACGTGAAATACTCTGTTTTTGTCAAAGGGCCAGAGGTGTATGTGCCATATACCCAAATCATCTTTTTTTATTTACCTTTCACATTGCCCCCAGTGACGACACACTTCATGCCAAAAGAGAGAAGCCAGGAAGTCCCCCCACACCAAGCCCAAGGTGAGGGGACCAAAAATTTGCAATCTTATTCAACTGGTATCCCGTGGCTAGCTTCGTTCTGTGATATAAAGAATTCTCTAGGACTCGGCAGTGGATGCTGAAAGAAAAAAAATATACATTCCATACATATACCAAATTCATTTCTTACAGTGCTTGGGTAGCCTAAGGAAAAGTTCTGCTAGTGCTGTAATCATCAGGATGTTTTATAACCAAGTATATGCCTAGAGGATGGCAATCCAGATAACTAAGTGCATATAATTTACCCCAACTCTTCCTCTAAAACAAGTTTTTCTCCTAAGCTGAGGAGGCATTAAAAATTATGTACCCATTCTGATGTATGGCCATTACAGTAAACATTGTTCAGATTCTTTAATCTTTTTATGCACAGTCCAAACATCAAGTATTTTACTCATAAGTATATTTTATTGAAATTCACTATATGTCATTTGCACTTAAGCATGCATAAGACTGCAGCCTCCATATCTGCTGACTCTAGAAAGCAGGTGGATTTGCTTTGTTTTATTTTGAAAGGCATCTGGAATCTGAATAATAAACATACCATTGTTACTATTCTGTTTGTTCAGTTGGGGATATATGCATATCTATGTATTTACATTAGATCTTTGTTGCTGGCTTTACTTCTCATACACATTCATAACATTTGGAATATAAATATCACTTCAAATAAGGATGGGCACTTACTGGCTCTTTCTTATTTATCCAAGGAACTTACATATAATCTTATCAGATATCAGTTGCTAGACATGAGACATTCAAATCTATTTGACCAAAAAAGAAGTCTGAAAGACAAGTCAAATGGATAGATGGGTATGAAAAAGCAAGTTTTCAGACACATGCAAATTTAATTTTAAGGCCCATTTTTGTCTTATTGAAAATATAATAATCATAAGCTGCTTAGCTACTCCTTCTAGAACAAAATACTGCAAAGTCAATTTGGAAGTTGCTTGGGTAGCAACTGGTTTAACACCCTTCACATGCCTTTCTTGTCAATTCTGGGGGAAGGGATAGTTGCTACTACAGTACTTTGGTAGGAAGACTGGAGATGGGAGGCCAATATCAGGAGGGCCACAGATTCTCCTTCACTGCCTTATATGTTGTACGGGCAAAAGAGCCTTGGAAACAAATTCAGCAGGTGTCCATTAACACTACTGTACAGTAGAAGACTATATATGTGCAGTCGGAAATAATCCAGTGATCAGGTGCCTTATGTGCAGGATCATCACTTTAAAACTTCAGGATTATGGCATCTCTGTCAGGTGTCACTTAGCACACTTAGGAAACATTGTGCCAACCCACAAGTCCACGCCTGGGCAATCCCAACTCCTTGAACCAGAGAGCAAAGGTGGGCAAAGTGCAGCTGGCAGGCTGATAGGGGCTGTGGTACAAGGCCATCTTGCGGACCCCCGTTTGCCTTTCAAGAGAGGATACCAGTCAATGGAGGTCTCAATAATGGATTACTCAGCTGGCGGAGTTTGCAATAAGGTGGGTTAATTAGCTCTTCTCTTTAACTGCTGTGCTATCTCCAAGCTGCTTATGACTCATGGAGACATAATGTGCACAAATATGTGCACTGTGCAACGTTCAAGGAGCGTTTTATCTTTGCCCCCCTCCTCCTCCCCCAGTGAGTTTCCTGGCGAGGATTTGAACCCAGATCTCCAGGGTTTTTGTCAAAGGGCCAGAGGTGTATGTGCCATATACCCAAATCATCTTTTTTTATTTACCTTTCACATTGCCCCCAGTGACGACACACTTCATGCCAAAAGAGAGAAGCCAGGAAGTCCCCCCACACCAAGCCCAAGGTGAGGGGACCAAAAATTTGCAATCTTATTCAACTGGTATCCCGTGGCTAGCTTCGTTCTGTGATATAAAGAATTCTCTAGGACTCGGCAGTGGATGCTGAAAGAAAAAAAATATACATTCCATACATATACCAAATTCATTTCTTACAGTGCTTGGGTAGCCTAAGGAAAAGTTCTGCTAGTGCTGTAATCATCAGGATGTTTTATAACCAAGTATATGCCTAGAGGATGGCAATCCAGATAACTAAGTGCATATAATTTACCCCAACTCTTCCTCTAAAACAAGTTTTTCTCCTAAGCTGAGGAGGCATTAAAAATTATGTACCCATTCTGATGTATGGCCATTACAGTAAACATTGTTCAGATTCTTTAATCTTTTTATGCACAGTCCAAACATCAAGTATTTTACTCATAAGTATATTTTATTGAAATTCACTATATGTCATTTGCACTTAAGCATGCATAAGACTGCAGCCTCCATATCTGCTGACTCTAGAAAGCAGGTGGATTTGCTTTGTTTTATTTTGAAAGGCATCTGGAATCTGAATAATAAACATACCATTGTTACTATTCTGTTTGTTCAGTTGGGGATATATGCATATCTATGTATTTACATTAGATCTTTGTTGCTGGCTTTACTTCTCATACACATTCATAACATTTGGAATATAAATATCACTTCAAATAAGGATGGGCACTTACTGGCTCTTTCTTATTTATCCAAGGAACTTACATATAATCTTATCAGATATCAGTTGCTAGACATGAGACATTCAAATCTATTTGACCAAAAAAGAAGTCTGAAAGACAAGTCAAATGGATAGATGGGTATGAAAAAGCAAGTTTTCAGACACATGCAAATTTAATTTTAAGGCCCATTTTTGTCTTATTGAAAATATAATAATCATAAGCTGCTTAGCTACTCCTTCTAGAACAAAATACTGCAAAGTCAATTTGGAAGTTGCTTGGGTAGCAACTGGTTTAACACCCTTCACATGCCTTTCTTGTCAATTCTGGGGGAAGGGATAGTTGCTACTACAGTACTTTGGTAGGAAGACTGGAGATGGGAGGCCAATATCAGGAGGGCCACAGATTCTCCTTCACTGCCTTATATGTTGTACGGGCAAAAGAGCCTTGGAAACAAATTCAGCAGGTGTCCATTAACACTACTGTACAGTAGAAGACTATATATGTGCAGTCGGAAATAATCCAGTGATCAGGTGCCTTATGTGCAGGATCATCACTTTAAAACTTCAGGATTATGGCATCTCTGTCAGGTGTCACTTAGCACACTTAGGAAACATTGTGCCAACCCACAAGTCCACGCCTGGGCAATCCCAACTCCTTGAACCAGAGAGCAAAGGTGGGCAAAGTGCAGCTGGCAGGCTGATAGGGGCTGTGGTACAAGGCCATCTTGCGGACCCCCGTTTGCCTTTCAAGAGAGGATACCAGTCAATGGAGGTCTCAATAATGGATTACTCAGCTGGCGGAGTTTGCAATAAGGTGGGTTAATTAGCTCTTCTCTTTAACTGCTGTGCTATCTCCAAGCTGCTTATGACTCATGGAGACATAATGTGCACAAATATGTGCACTGTGCAACGTTCAAGGAGCGTTTTATCTTTGCCCCCCCTCCTCCTCCCCCAGTGAGTTTCCTGGCGAGGATTTGAACCCAGATCTCCTGGGTCCCAAACCGAAACTCTGTCCACAACGCCACACTGGCCGTTAGACAGAAGATTATAGATCCCAGCTCCAGAAAAGGACACCCCTCTTATGCGCCAATCACTGCGTTAGGAGTTGGCCTCCGAGCCAAAAGACCCCAGCTCCCGAAATGAGGCAGGCCGACCGGCCGGCCACCCCCCTCTCCCTCTTTCCCCGGGAATAGTTCCTACCTTTCCCCCGAAGTCAAACAAGTGCGCCAAACTCCACCTTTCTTTAAGGCCCGCCTTCTCACCACCACGCTGCCTTCACATTGGACAATACGCCTTCCGTCATCGGGAAGTACGCAAGAGTGAAAGAGTTAAGAGTCCGCTCGAGTATTTCCGCTCACGTGATCCAATGAGCTCGCGGAGACGACTTTCCTCGCTTTTACAGACCATAGATGCTTTTTTTTTTTTTGGTCGTTGTCCTTAGGTTGGCTTGGCTCCAAACGCTCCGCCCCGGATCAGAGTTGCCTCTGGGAAGGAGGGAGCGAGGGACTGCGCCTGCGCTATATGTAACAGGTGGTGGACGCTCTGGCGGGGTTGGTGATTATTTATGGGGTTGAGTACCCTCGCTGTCCGTTTTTCCGTTTACTGCTGGGCAGGATCCATTCAGATTTTTGTAATCTCTTCTATGCCTGTCAGTAACGGGAGGGCAATTATTTCTTTTACTGTCCAAAAAGAATTAGAAATTGGTCGTGTGGTTCAAGATTACGCAAATGCAAGAGTAAGGTGATCCTTTAATTGAACTACTAAAAAAAATCATACAAATTGCAAGCTTTCCTGAGTAAATCTCACTTCCTCAGGCTGGGCACATTACTTGATAGATACTAACTAGTTACCTCAGTAACTAGCTACCTGTGTGTGGTTTTTGGATGGATTACTACTTTGATTGGATTTTTAGGGTTTTCCATTTTCCCAAGTGATTTTTTCTTTTTAATATTTATATATTTATTGTTTAATGTTGCTTTTTATTGATGTAAGATGCCTCTTTATATTCATTGTTCTTAGCTTTGAATATTGTCTTTTAATTGTACTAACCACTGTTGTATACTCATTGTTTTCAATTTTAAATACTACCTTTCAGGCAAGCCACCTTGAGTCCTTTTCAAGGGGAATGGTTGGATAAACATATTTTAAATAAATATAGTGCAGAAAAATTGTAGGTAAAGTGTCTTAAAATTCATGGCAGATGTCCATGTTGAGTTTGTTGGCATGAGGTGAATTCAGAGTTTGTAAAGTCAGCTAGGAGGTGTGATTTTCAGCATTCTCCCTTGCAAGAGTGGTTGGAATTTTCCATCCTAAAGTCCAAAGAAAGTATTTGGTAATTACTCTTGTGACTGCTTCCTTTTAAAGTGGTTATCTTCACTTGGGATAATCAGACAAACATATTCCACAAAAATAATTAAAATTTGCACCTGTTCTGCCTTCTCTCCAGTGATCTGTTGACCTGGGTTTTTTAGTTTGATCCTGTCCTTACTGCCTTGTTTATTTTAAAAAAACAACAGAAGCAGCTATACTGATCTATAAGAACAGAACAAAGTCCACTAACTGTAATTCTAGAATGGTGTGAAATGTTGAGAATTCTGGAACTTCCTTAAGTTCCAGTAAAATGCACAGCGGAAGGCCAGCTCCTTAAGGTTAGAATTAGCTGTAGAATTCTCCTTTACCCAATTGTTTTTGGTATCCACACTCACCAAAGCCTAGCAGCTTTAGAAAATAAGACTCAGGAGGTGATATTTAAGTATGAAAGGTTTTGTGTATTTTACTCAAATGTCCATTTCTAAAACAGGCACTCATTGGGTCTAAGGTTGATAGAAAGGAAAATAGTAAAAATAAGGTTTGTTTCCTCAGCCCATATGGCTGGGAGGATCTCTACGGTTCAGAGATCCAGCTTCTTCCAAGGTGAAAAAGGGTCTGAGACAAAATGGAGTCTCTCAAAACAGGTGAGGAGAGAGAAGGGAAGAAACAAGGGCGAAGCTTATCTAGCCCAGCAACAACAAACCCCTCTGATTAGTTAGCATGCAAACAGGTTAGTCTGTGATGGAGGGCCTTCCTCCCATATCTTGAAATTTACATCAACTTTATCTAGGAAGAGGGAAAGTATGGATATTCAGAAATTCTGGCAACTTAAGCTATGGAGTCTGCAGGTACACCTCACCCCAAGATGTAAGATTTATGAATGCCTGGTAGATGTGGAAGTACTGAAACAGTTAAAAGGCCTGTTGCCATCTCTGAAAACCCAAAGCAGCTTGTAACAGAGGTCTGTCTTGTGCTCTAGGGAATTTACACACATTTCTTGTTGGCCTCCAAACATTGTCTCTTAGCCTGTTTTCAGCCAGGATCTCTGGCTTCTCAACTCCCAAATGCCCTTGTGGTCATCTGTCTAGCCCAGGTAACCGTAAGGGGCATTTGTGAGTAGAGAAGCCAGAGATCTTGTCTGTCCTTTAGACTCTCTGACTTCTCCTGACTGTTAGACTGGTACCGTACAGTACTCTCAGCATCTGCCTATCAATCTCATTTTCAGTCTTTCCTGCAGACCAGGCATGGTTGCTTCTTATGTGCCCTTGTCGGCACATGCTTATCTAATTGGGATTATAGTTTAGACTTTTCTACCTCAAAGGGACGTGGTGGTGCTGCGGGCTAAACCGCAGAAGCCTGTGCTGCAGGGTCAGAAGACCAAGCAGTCGTAAGAGCGAACCCACGCGACTGAGTGAGTTCCCGTCGCTTGTCCCAGCTCCCGCTAACCTAGCGGTTCGAAAGCATAGAAATGCAAGTAGATAAATAGGTACCATGCAAGTAGATAAATAGGTAACAGTGTTCTGTGTCTAAGTCGCACTGGCCATGTGACCACGGAAGATTGTCTTCGGACAAAGGCTGGCTCTATGGCTTGGAAACGGGGATGAGCACCGCCCCCTAGAGTCGAACACGACTGGACAAAAATTGTCAAGGGGAACCTTTACCTACCTCAAATGTACATTTCTTAATAAAGGTTAGTTTGATTTTAACTGTTTTTAACCTTCTTTATTGGTCCCCAGTGTAGTGGATAGAGTGATGGACTAGGACTCTGGAGAACAGAGTTCAAATCCTCGCTTGGCCATGGAAACTCACTGAGAGAATGAAACTGGTAAAACTTCTCCTTAACTTTCTCACCTTCAAAGCCCTGTTGAGGTAGCACTATAAGTCATTTTCAACTTGAAAGCACAGAGCACGAACATCTCCTTATTAAGAGACTAACAGCCCATGGGTTGAGGCAGTGCTCACTGGTGCTGAGAAAAATGTCAGTAGTTTTTCGTTTTTCACCTTAGAAACACTCAGAACATCTTTTAGGTGGCATACTGCAGAAGAACGAAAAAACAGCACAGTCCTTAAATAACTAAAGTTGAGATTAAATTTTAAGTTATCTATCAATTTAAAGAGTCAGCTGAGACTGAATTGAAAGTGTTACCTAGTTCAGCCCTCTTTCAGTGGTAGACTTTTCTCTGGTGGTAGATTCTTATTCATTCATGAGATGCATTTATACCCTGTCTTACTGCCACTGACATTTAATGCTCTTCTCCTCCCAGCTCTATCTTCATAAAACTCCTGTGCGATAAATGAGGGGGTGGTTGAAATCCTGTTGCATAATGTTGTAAGTCACAAAAGTGTAGGGTCATTGAATCAATGTAGATGTGATGAATCAATTCTTTTGTAAGTTCCATTGATTCAAGTTGGCTTATATGGTGACTTGCTAGGCTAAAGTAAGTCATAACTAGAGTAGGCCCATTAAATCAGTGGAATGCATAGAGGAGCTGGTTCACCGGCTCTCCACTGATTCAGTGAACTTACTCTAGTTATGATTTATTATGCTAGGCAGTAGGATTTTAACTTGGGAGTGATGAGGTCCACCCATTGAGTTCCAGTGGCTTAGAATGATCTGACAAGATCCAGTCCAGTACTATAACTCCAATGTCATACTGGGATTTTCTGTGTTCCAGCCTATTATGTGAAATTGTTTGTCTGCTGCCATTCAAAATAATTATTATGTTAGGCAACATAAAAAAAATGTATTTTAGAAATGCCTCTGAAGGGACAGTTAGTCTATACCAGGAGTGAGTAACTGTGATCCTTTGGATATTGCTAGACAACAACTCACAGCATTCTTTACCATTGGCTATGCTGGCTAGGGTCAATAGGAACTGAAATTTTTTTAAAAAAATTAAAATCAGGGGGCCAGAGTTACACCACCACCCTGGTTTATGCTGAAGTGATCTTATTTGAAAGCCAAGTTTATTGATGTCTTGATACATTGAGATGTTGTTGTTGGTGCTACACCTTGACCAATGATTTGATCTTCAGATGTTCCTAGGTGAACCTTCATATAGAGATACTATTATCATCAGCTAAGCTGGGTGCTGGATAGCTTAGTGAATTGGAGCACCACAAAACCAGGGGCAAGGAGCTCAATTCTCTGCCATCCCTCCTGGGAAAGGAGCTAGCTTGTTTGGCCTTGGGTACATTACAGAGTCTCAGAATGTCCCTAGAATAGGGGTTCCCAACCTTTAATCTCCAGCTGTTCTTGGACTACAACTCCCAGATAACTTGCCCAGCACAGCTTCTGGGAGTTTTAGTCTAAGAATATCTGGGGACCCAAGGTTGAAAATCACCGCCCTAGAAAAAAGGAATGATAAACCACTTCTGAGTACTCTGCCTAGAAATGGGTATGAAAAGAGTTGTCTTAAATGTGACTTTACAGCACATAAATATTATAATGTCTGCATATTAAGCTTCAGACGCAGCCACAAGTTGGTTCAAAGGTCCGCAACATTGGGGTCAGAGGGAATTGAAATGTAAAAAAAAAATACCTACAATTTTCTTCCATGTCTTTATTTTTTATAATCCCCCTTTTCCCATAATCATGTAAAATACTGAATTGCAATTCTCAGCTCACCCAAGCATATGTACACTAACCTGCCAACTGAGACAACAAGTCATGGATCTTATAACATGGACTGTAAGTCACCAAAGTTTATATTAAATAAAACATTTTGAATGTTAATGTGCCACAAAATAATTTCCTGGTTTTTCTGCAGCAGACAAATAAGGCAAGCCCTCCTAAAAATAGATAAGTGAAAGCTATCGGCTTTCTGTCAAATAAATCTCGGACAACTCACAGACTTCCTCATTATGTTGATTGTCATCCATATTTTTCATGAATCATCTCTATCTGTGGGGTGTTGTTGGCTTGTACAGTTCCATTCATTTCAAATAACTATTTATTTTACAGTATTTTAATATGTATTTATTTAATATCCCACCTTTCTGCCAAAAAAAAAGCACTCGAGGCAGCTCCCTAATAAAATTCAAATAAAAAGGCACAATGAAAACATATTAAAAACACA